CCACCGACCGAAACTAAAAGGTTACACCCCTTTAGTCCCGGTTGGTGGATCCAACCCGGACTAAATGTCTAACCTATAGTCCCGGTTTGTGTCACAAAGCGGGACTAAAGGGGCTCATGGGGCCCCAGCCTAATGCCAGCCTGCCACCACCCCTTTAGTCCTGGTTTGTGACACAAATCGGGACTATAGGTACACCACAAACCGGGACTAATGCCTAGCCGTTGAAACCGGGACTAATGGCCACATTAGTACCGGGCCGTAATCAAACCGGGACTAATGAGGTTAACGTAAGGTCGTTTTTATACTAGTGGTAGGAGCGGGAGTGGGTCCTTGGATGGTGGTGCTGCTGCATCACTGTTTGGTACCGAGTTCACAGTTCACTTAGGCTGAGAAGAAGAAGATTATGGCAAATGGACGCCTCACAGAGATAGCTTTGACAGATCCTAAGAGGGCCAAGAAGTGTGCATTTCATCATAGAGTGAAAAAATATTTCCCCCTCAATTTAAGCATCCTGACTTTTTAAATTGACAGGATTTTGGCAAATCGCCAGTCTGTGGCAAGGTCAAAGGAGCGCAAGATGAGGTACATTCAAGAACTCGAGCATAAGGTACAGATCTTGCAGACAAAGACGACTACACTTTCAACACGGTTGACAATGCTGCAGGTTTGTCTTATGGAGTTGCTCTGTATTTTTGATTTTGTTTATGTTAGGATGGAACTAATTCCTGATGCACTTGTTTGTAGAGGGACTCTGGAGGACTTGTGACTCATAACAATGAGTTGAAAATAAGGCTGCAAGCAATGGAGCAACAGGCGCAGCTGAGATATGGTATGCTTCTTATGGCCCCATTCTTCATTTCTTTTGGTGAAAATTAAACTGGGTTATGTCTTCCCCAGAAACTAGCAAACGGCAAGACAAATATAGCACTCTTCAAGTATTACGCCAGGATGTGTTTGTGCCGACTTTCAACTGTCTGGGCTGGTTCGGTAGGCATGTAGTATCACCAATGCAGATCAGTATTTTTATTGTTGGGTTGGGATAGTTTCTATTTATGTGCACTCAACACTGTAGGGTTTATCAAGGCCAAGCAAATCAGTTTACATTAAAATGCAATAGTAGAGTGGTTCTTTGATGTTATTGCATGCTTCATGTGTCTCTTTATAGATATATTGGTTCTTAGTTTACCATGCATCTTGGTTGTGTTTGTAATGAAAAATTTCATGGTTTGGTGCTGAAAGATGACTTGCCAATATTTATGCAAGGCAAAGCTAAACCAATTCGTTGGGTACTAACTTCTCTCGAAACTTGCCTACATTTGGCAAGTTTTGGAGTTGCAAAATGTAGGTATGCCAAACTATTGGCTAGCAATTTTTGGCTGCCAATAAAAGCATGTCCTATTACCTTTGTTTCGTGATTTACAAAAGATCGTGTGCTTGTTCTCTGTGATAGTCAGTTATATTAAGTCGCCAAATGTAAGCATGCTAAAGTATTGGCTAGCAATATTTGGCTACCAACCAAAGCACACTCTATTACCTTGTTTGGTGATTCTTATACAAAAGATCACGTGCTTCGTCTTTGTGTTAGTCAGTTATATTAAACTATCATTATAAATATTGATGATTCTTAGTGTGCACATTTTCATGGTGTTGATTACTTGCTGACTAGATTAAAGTCCTTTTGTCTCAGAAAAGACCATGTGGTTTGCAAATTGGTTGAGTTGAAAATTGATGGCACAACATATTCATTTTATATTTTTACTTTATTAGTTGCAAGGGGTTCAGTCACCAGGTGGCTGGGCTGTACCATCATGATACATACTTTTACTGGGAATTCTTTTGAACAATATGTATTTGGAAAATCTTGCATATCTGAACACTATTTTATCATTAATCAATATATGTTCCAAAATATTTTGAAAAGCTTGAATACCTCAACACTATTTATAGAGGGGTGGTGTCCACGAATTGGGCAGTACGCGATAAGATCGATTATGAGGGTTGTTATTCATCATTCACAAGCATGTGTGTTATATGAGGGCATGTGCGACATCTCAGTCTGTTATTTTGTATCTCTGAACCACACATAAGAATTTGGATATTTAACCTTTTGTTATGCTGTTGCCTGCATATTTTGTGTTGATAAGCACCAGGATGCTTGTCATGCCCAATATGCGATACTATCCTAAAGAGACTCGAAGGTCCCACCAAGGATAGAATCGCATATTGATACGCTTTTGCAAGGTGGATATCATTACATCAACATTACATAATAGATGGAGATACATACAAGAGGCATACAATGCCACACGAATACAACATCATCATACACAAGAGCATCATCCGACTATGGATGAAACACAAACATAAACTCAAACGACATCCACCCTGCTAGCCCAGGCTGCCGACCTAGAACCTATCCCCTGAACGATGAAGTAGAAGAAGAACTCAAAGCAAGCAAGCATCACTCTCGCGTCAAGATCATCACATAACCTGTACCTGCAACTGTTGTTGTAGTAATCTGTGAGCCACGAGGACTCAGCAATCCCATTACCATGGGTATCAAGACTAGCAAAGCTTATTGGGTAAAGGAATGGATAAGTGGTGAGCGGCTAAGCAAAATATGGTGGCTAACTTACGCAAATAACAACGAGAAGAGAACCAAACGGAACGGTCATGAAGCTAGCAATGATTAAGAAGTGATCCTGAAACTACTTATGTTCAAACATAACCCAAACCGTGTTCACTTCCCGGACTCCGCCGAAAAGAGACCATCACGGCTACACACGCGGTTGATGCGTTTTAATTTGAATCTGGTGTCAAGTTCTCGTTCTCAGGGCACACCGAATGAGACAGGCTACGAGTAAAACCAGACTTCGAGTTTCCCCGAAGTGGCCCCGCAGGCGGCTCGGTT